CAAGCCAAGCCAAGCCAAGCCAAAAATAAGTACTGAAAATATATTCCAAGGCCCTCATGGAAACGCAAGGCCCTCATAGGAAAGCAAGGCCCTCATAGGAAAGCAAGGCCCTCATAGGAAATGCAAGGCCCTCATAAGAAATGCAAGGCCCTCATAACCTCATAAGACATGCAAGGCCCTCATAGGAAATGCAAGTCCATCATAGGAAATGCAGGTCCCTCATAGGAAATGCAAGGCCCTCATAGGAAAGGCTCCCCCAACTTTACTGCAGAGCCCGATCCCCAACTTTGCTTTAGATGTGGCAAAACGCAGTGTAAAAGTAGTGAAACGACAGAGAATCATAGCGGTAGCGTCAAATTAAGAGACGTACCCCTAGTAGTAGTAGTAGTAGTAGTAGTAGTAGTAGTAGTAGCAGTAGCAGTAGTAGTAGTAGTAGCAGCAGCAGCAGCAGTAATTAGCAGTAGCAGTAGCAGTAGCAGTAGCAGTAGCAGTAGGAGGAGCAGTAGTAGTAGTAGAAGTAGAAGTACAAGCACAAGTACAAATAGTAGTAGTAGTAGTAGTTTTAGTAGTAGTAGTAGTAGTAGTAGCAGCATTAGTAGTAGTAGTAGTAGTAGTAGTAGCAGTAGTAGTAGTGGTAGCAGTAGTGGTAGTGGTAGTGGTAGTAGTAGTAGTAGTAGTAGTAGTAGTAGAAGCAGCAGTAGTAGCAGTAGGAGTAGGGGAGTAGCAGTAGCAGTAGCAGTAGCAGTAGCAGTGGCAGTGTCAGTGGCAGTGGCAGTTGCAGTGGCGGTGGCGGTGGCGGTGGCAGTTGTGGTGATGGTGTTGGTGGTGGTGGTAGTAACTGGTAGTAGTAGTAGTAGTAGTAGTCGTCGTCGTCGTAGTTGATGTAGTTGCAGTTGCAAGTTGTGACAGTAGCAACAGGAGGTACATAGGAATGTAGATATGTATGCATGGAGGTATGTAGGCATGTAGGTATGTGGATCTGTACGTATGTAGGTATGTAGGTGGGTAGGCAGGCATGTACGCATGCATGCATTGACGCATGCCTGCAGGCTCTGGAGGCATGTACCCTGGCAGGCACATGCGTACGCATGCACCTGTATATACATGCATTCACATATACGTTTATAAAGGCAGGTCTGTAGGTAGGTAGGTCGGTCGGTAGAGGTAGGTAGGTAAGTAGGTAGGTAGGTAGGTAGGTAGGTAGGCGGGAGGGGTAGTGGTAGGCAGGTGGGTAGGTAGGACGTGAGGAATGTGCAGCAGGACGCTTGTTGCAAACTCAGCCTTCCCAGGGGCCGCCGAAAACAAAGCCGCCGCCGCCTTGCGTGCTGCCGAAGCCACAGCCTACATTCAAGGCCCAGGGCTAAGCTTTCTGCAAGATGTCGCGCTCATTGTTGCTTAGCCTGCGAAGCGCTCATGTCAAGCATAAGACAGCAACAGCGGCAATTAGTCGATCTAGAATGCATTGTGATAGGTACACTGCAACCGGTGGTTTCAGCGAGGAAACTACATCTCAGTCCAGAACCCAACAGCTGAAACGAAGCTGTAGACACCAACTGAGTGTCGTTTCTACATGAATGCGTAGGTAAGCAGGGCATTCATCTCCATGTATCAGTCTACGCAAACCTTATACATATGCACGCCCAGGCTCACTGGAAACGCTCCTTCTTTGTAGAAGTCCAGGAGCCATCTGAGCACCTGTCCCATGTAAGGTTTGCGTGCTGGATGGTATCTTGTTTGTCAGCCCATATCCACCAGGCTGCCAGGGACGAGACGCATGACGACAGCAGTGAGAAATGGGAATCCGGCAAGCACCGTATGCAGATCTTGCGAACAGAAGCAGCGCTGGCAGTCGGTCCAATACAGGCACTGGAAACATTGATATTGATGGTGGCAATTCTGCATGTGGCAAAAGCCTTTCGTATTAGAATCCCAAACAGAAGAGAAACGGCGACAACATGAAGCAGACAATATCACCAGGCAGGAGTAGACCAATGCCGAAATCGTGGTGACCGCCGTGTTAATAGTAATAGACACCACGGCCGTGTTCTCAGATCCCTGGCAAAACCGAATGTTCACAGTAGGCGAATGCGTTCATGTAGAAATGGCCGCATCAAGAAACAAATGCATCATCACGCCACCAATGTGCGCTTGCACATACACACATACACACATACTTACATACGTGCATACGTGCATACGTACATACGTGCACACATACATGTAGGCGGTCAGGCATTCATGTCTTCTTTGCAAGCACGTGTGCGGCTGTGTGCCTGGCTCTCCGAGGCTTTGATGGACTCGGAGGAAGAAGAGGTGGATGAATGCTAAACCGCCGGCTAACCGCCACGAGCTGCCGAGCTCGGTGTGTCCGAGTGAGGCATTAGCGCTAGGACTGGGCAAAGACGGAATGTTCAACAGAACGAATGGTTTGTCTGTACAAGACTTTCAAGGTTTAAGGTTTGAGTCAATGGCTTGGCCCTGTGAGTCCAGGGCCCGGGCTTGGGGTGTCACGCGCGGGTCCCCGACTCTCAGATGCGCTTCCGATTCCGTTCAGGTTAAGCCCAGAGTGCGGGAACTCCGATTTAATCGAGACCCAGAGCGCGCGCCAGCTTGCAGAGTGCAGGGCGAGAAAAGCTGGGCCCACGCGGCCCAAGAAGGAGGCTCTGGTATTGAGCCTGTCGAAACCCTTGAGAGTCCTGTACTGCTGTGATCGTGGTAGCTGGCAGATGTTGAAGTGTTCATGAGCTCGTAAAGCAATTACGATCTTGCTGCTATCAGACAGCCTTCTTTATTTTCTGCTGAAGGGAGGTCCTTAACCCTGAAACATCTAAAGGCCAAGATCCCGAATCCACATGAAGCTGCACACTCCTCTGCCCTAAACCCTCATGAACTGACCCACCCGTGGTCCTAGAGCCCGAAACCCTCAAACCCTAAGCTTCAAGGATCGTTGATTCCTTAAACCATTCAAGCTGAGATGGCTCAAGATGAGCCAGAGAGTTGTTTGCAAAGTCTGCCGGTAGACTGCAGCCGGTGCTGCTTGGCACCAAAGCCTTAGGGCAGCGTGGTTGCGGAATTTGGGGGAGGCACTGGTTTCAGGTCCAGACGGTGAAACTCAGGATGAGGAATCGCCTTCGGATCAAACCCCTTCTTGGAGCGTACATGGCCTCGGGTTTCGGGTGAGCTTCCAAGTCCAAAACCCTTAAGCTGTCAGCTGTCATATGCGAAGCTCTTCCTTTCCGAGAGGCGTATACAGCATCGCGATGCTTAGATCTGAAACTTGAAGACAGGTAAGCTTCTAGCACTCAGTAGACCATTGTACCAGCCTAATGGCTCATCGTATCTCTGAGGTACACATGGCCAGCCTTGGTCGATGCTTCGGCACGCACTCTAGGCCAAGGCCTCAGGACATGCTTGGATGAGCTTCTGCTGTGTGGAGCTTGGGTTCGGACTTTTCAGTTCTGCCCCTCTGAGGCGATGGTTGCTGCTTGCCCTCGCCACGTGCGTCGTGCCGGTGCCAGCGAAGCAGTCCTTTCAGGCACAGCTCACCGAGCTATCGGGGCCTGGGTCGCTTTTTGAATGCTAGGCTCCCCGGCTTGCCTGAAACTTCTGACCCGATGGCTTGGACCGAAAATCTGGGAGTCCCAAATCCTAAACCCCAAGCTTCCTTGTAAGTTTGGAAGGGGTTCATGGATTGCCTCTTACCCATTCACGGTTCAATGCTGCCTCAGGGCGGGCAATCAAATTTCCCAGGTTGCCTCAGATGGTCGCAGTGGCCCTGACATGATGGATGCGTTGGCCTCGGTGGATGTTGACGAAACCCAATCCTTTGGCAGAACACCGCCTTGACTAGATCAAATGTAGCTGTCCTTGAGAGCTTGATCTGACGACACGGCACATAAGCACTTCCCAGCGCGAGACTGCACGTTGCATCCGGGCTTCATCACACCACACCGGGTCATGAACTTGGGCCACGCTCGTCACGAATGAGCGTCAATGCCATCGTTGCAAACGACATTATGTTGACAGTGATAGCATAGTGAGAAGAGCTATCTTAACCATGAGCACGACTTACAGAGTCCTTAGGCTTAGGAGGCTGCTTGTAGCCGGTTTCGTTCTCATCAGCACAGACTGCAAAGCGTCATAGCTGTTTCTTTCCGACAACACTACTCCTGGTCACCTTTGAATATGCTTACTTTCATCAACAGGCTTGCAGGCACCCAGATAACTGTCTTGCAGAGTGGTGCCGGCTGAGGACATGTCTGCTTCTGCCAAGGACTCATGCCTGCAGTGCTGGAATAGGCCCTAGAGCATAGATATCAACGGTCAGGTTTAAACTGCGCAAGGGATCTAAAGACTCGCGAAGATCCCTCCCCCTGCTGCCTTCGCGCTTCGCCGAGATCCCCAGCACCTTCTCGAGCTCCTTTTCTTAGCGGCAAGATCCTTTGCTAACCGCTGCTAGCAATAATCGCGATCACAACTTATTTTCGGTCATCATCATCGTCGTCATGGGTATTTGTTTATTGGCACCGTACACTATCCCTCGATTCCTGGACCCTCACTCCCCGGCCAGGACGACATCGCACACAGCGCCGCCGTGAGAATGCGGCTTGGTTGGGTCTGGCAAAAAACAAAAGCTCGGAGCTCTCCTCTTGACATTTTTGGGGGTCGGGTTCTGAAAGCGCTAGGGCAGGGTTCAAGCTACGCAAGTTCAGTGCTACTAGCGCTTTGAGGGTTTTGGGATGCGCTGCTTCTAAACCCTTCTCGAGGTCTCAGCAGAGGAGCTTAGGACTCGTGAAGCGGGTCCTTCGGAAATTCGGAACTAATAGTTAGTTTGGATCAAGTCGGAGCCGCAAGCTCTGCGTGCACCTTGTGAAACACCGAAGCCTCAAGGACCATCACAGACTCTGCGGCATCACAGCTCCTTCGTGTGGACACCAAGAAGGAGTCTGAAGAGGCCCCACAACACGCCTCGGTTGAAGAGTTTGCTGTTGAGCGTCAGAGAACAGGGAAAGTGCCATGCTTGCCTATCAAGAAGAGTGTTTCGTGCTTCGGCTTCGAAGAGACGGAACGTAATAAAACAGCGAGACAGGGTTGCAAGAAGAAACAGCTGAGAGTAACCAATCGCTTCCTTGCAGACATTGTGGTTGCAAAGTCCCGCAGATCTCTAGCAGGCGTATTATCAGCCACTTTGCTTGGGCCACCACCTGAGACTCCACCCTGCGTTCCTGCCTTCAAGTCGCAAGTGTCTGCATAACATCTGCCTGGCCCCAGCCCAGTCCTGCCAGCAAGAGACTCCCCATAGATGCCTTCATATGAAGTGAGATGCTTCCACTGGCCGCGAGGCCATCAAGGAGGAACACGCCGGCGAGGCCACCCTCTTTGCTTCGTACCCCATTTTGAGTGTGTGAATGTCTGTAAAACTACGCACGCACAATAAACAACGCATGCCTGCTTGCCTGTCTGCATGTAGGTCTGTCCGTATGTATGTACGTGCGTATGCATGCATGCTTGCTGAGCCTTGTGAAGCCACAACAAGGCAGGGGGCATTTTTAGAACGGAGCCCCCGGAAGTCTTCGCCAAAGCCGGAGGTCCAGGCTAGCAGCCAAGGCCAAACAAAGTACTTGCGCCAGGCCGTGGTCCAAAAGTGTGCTGAGATTTCTTTGGGGCTTTGACTGGGGCGGTTTGATTCCCTGTGTTATTTATGAAGAGGTTGTGGGTGTGGGGTCCAGAGATTCAATCTTGGATCTTGCTCTGGATTTTGCGGGCTTGTAGGGTTTAGAATTCAGCGATTGGGAGTACAGGGGTCGGCTTCCAGTCAGGGCTGTAGCACCTGTCTGGTCTAGGAGTCGTTAACGTTGTAGTTGGTCTGTGGGGGCTTGAGGGGTTGCAGCCTTCAGGTGGCCCCGGTTGAAAGTCGTGTGAGTCGTGCGTAGTTCCTGTTTTGGCCCCTTGAGACCCTTGCCACCTTTGGCACTCTTCCTTTCATTGTCCAGCACTGGTACCATGCGGAGTCTGAGAAAGCTTTGTGTACCGATTACGAGCCAAGATTTCCCAAAGCTGAGCACAGGAGGCGTCCACTGCAGCGGCCGCAAGGCCTCCGCCACGGGGCATCTGTCGCGGAGGCATGGATCTGGGTAGGATGCTGCGGGTGTGGGTGTCAGATAGGATTCAGTGTTTGGATGTTGTGCGAGGGGTCTGGGTGGGCTAAGGCAGTCGGAATGCACATCTGCAGAACTTGTACAAGACGGTGTCTAAGAAGCAGGTGAGCAGAAGCGTTTGGACCCGCCAAGCAAGGCCCAGCATTCAGTCTCGCCTCAAGCAAGCCCTGAGAGCCCAGAGTACATCCTTCTAGACCCGAACCATGCTGTGTTCTCAGTTGGATTTGCCGAAAGCGGACCGTGTGGCCGTGTTTAGGATTTTCTCGAGGATTGGGGGACTTGAGGTCTTTGGTTTGTTTCAAGGTGGTTCGGATCTTGAAAACCCTTGGAATGGTCTTTTGTGACCTAACCTCATTTGGACCAGTTTGCTTGCACAGCTGCCATCCTCGCCAACATGCTCAGAAGCTAGGCTCCCGCTGCATAGCTCTGCTAGCCTTCCCTCAGCACCTTGCATCGTCCTGCGTTCCTGGCAGAACTTCTTCCGACGAAGTGCCCCAACGAGCAGCAGGCGAGGCAGTGCGTCCTGATGAGGGCCTTAGACGCCTTAGACTCCACCGTGGTAGGAAGAGTATGGCCAGTCTAGCTAGCAGCGGCATGGGTAGAGTTTGTCGGCGAAGTTGTGCTTCGGTAGTGTCTATGGCACCACATGTAGAGGTTTAGGGAGGGGAGTGCCGGTAGTGGTGACGATGGCACCAGCGGTGGCCCGCAGCATCGATTTATTTGGGGCATGTGAGCGACGGATCCATGTCAGCCTGCAGGCTGAAGAAGACGGGCTCACCGCTGCTGCCGCTGCAGGATTGGCAGAAGAGGCCTTCTGATCCGAGTTTCTCCAACCTGCGTCGGCTTCGATTCCACGAACAGCCTTGTCCAGGAAGATCCGTGTGAAGCTTTGACAGAGCTGTTCGGGACTCGGGCGAGAACTTCCAGAAGCACTTCTGGCTTTCGGGTTTTAGGGCTTCTAGGGTTCAGGGTGAAGAAGACACTCGTGTGTACAAGCTAATACTAGCATCCATGCATGTTCATATACACATACATATACATGTACATGCACATCTACATGTGCCTCACTTGCTACACCTACATCTGTGTATGTACATCTATATGTATAATATGTATAATATGTATAATATGTACATATATATATACAATATGCACGCATACACATACACACAGGTGCATGCATACGCATAATCAAGGAACGCGCCGAGTAGAATCCTCCTTGTCTCTGTGTGTGCCCATCCTTTGCCTGCTGCCTATCCGTGTATCAACATGCCACGCTGTGATGGGAGCGCACATATGCATCTGTACTCTCTCATATATGCACATCTGCCTGTTTGCGGCACGACATACGCTCATCAGCAAAGTCCGATGGACACGTACGCATACATGCCTACAGGCCGGCAGCCAGGGATGTGTATGCATACATACACATGCATTCACATCCCTGGCTGTGCAGATGCTCCTGTGTATGCCGGATGGACGCATGGATCATTGCATGCATGTACTGACTCCGGCTTGACATGCGCACACACACAGAGTTCTGCAAAAGCATGGGTCAACAGTACAGAAGGATACATATATGTTGATATAAAACTAGAAAACATACATGTGGATGTAGGAATACATCTTTGCTTACTTGTGTATCTGTGCAGCGCAAACATGTGTGTGTGTGTGTGCTTATGTGTGAGAGAGAGTGTGTGTGTGTGCGTGAGAGTGAGTGAGAGAGTGAGTGAGTGAGTGAGTGAGTGAGTGAGTGAGTGAGTGAGTGAGTGAGGGAGGGAGGGAGTGAGTGAGTGAGTGAGTGAGTGAGTGAGTGTGTGTGTGTGTGTGAGTGTGTGTTTGTGTGTCTGCGTGTCGCGTGTTCTCGTTTTCCTGTCTCCCACATATCTGTAATCTATAATCTACCTGTGCAAAAAGAGCACGAACAGCCGTAAACCAGGCCTGAATCAGTCTTCAGCAATCAGAACGACCGAAAACTGGAACCCTGCCAGTCGCAAATCCCAGCCAACCTTTTTGCCTAAACGCCCAACTCCAGACAAAAGCTCAAACGCGTCAAGTTTCTCCAGCGCTCCACAGCCTGGACGTCTTCCAAGGCCGGAGACCCTTCCTGGCCAGGGCTCCATCGCCTTCTTTGCACGGGAGCGTTGTGCAACTGCAGTTTTTTTTTTCAGGGGTCTTCGTTCCAACTTTAGAGCGGCAAGGCAAATATACCAGGCTGTAAACAATGAGCCCCCCCACAACAATTCTAACCCATGGGGCTCTGCGAGAGGTTTCGGCGGGTGGGAGAACAGGCGCTCAACCAAAAAGAAGAAGTCGGGTGGTGATTGGGCTTCAGGAAGCCATCCTACAGGGCTGCGACGGCTACCACCGCTGTTCCCGACAAAGCAAAGGCACGGCCACGTCGCAGGGGGGCCTTCCGGATTTATGGGGCCCAGAGCTCAAGTATTGAGTCGACAGCTTTTTGGAGAGTTTGGAAGTTAGGGTTACAGGGGGAGAGTGTAGGGTTTTAGGTCGAGAATCTGAGCTGATCTTTGCTGTGTCGGGCTGATGTATCATGATGGGTAGGGTGGTGACGATCTTTTCAACTGGTTTTGGTTGTGGGTACCTGTTCGGCTGGGCGTGGTATACAGCATTCGTAGCCTGTGCAAGCATCCGCACATTCAGATGCACTGTTATGTCTCGCCACTTCAGAGGGTAACCTTTGTAGCGCGACATGCTAAATTCTGCCGCTGCAGGCTTCCGGCAGTGCAGCTCGGCTCCGATATCAGACGACCTTGAAGCGAATGAAAGCTCGTTCTGCCGGATGCACGAGTTGTCAGTCCGGGGTCAGGCGAGTTGATGCTTTTCAATCATCGGTGCTCTCTTTGGCTTCCAGCTCCATCTTATCCTGCCTTGAAGCTCGAACCAGGACCCCTGAACCTACCGGAAGCCTCGCGGCAAGAACCTCCACCTGAACCTTATTGATTTTTACCTTTTGCAGCCGAGACTCCCAACCTCGAGGCCCATGCTGGACCTTCGTCCATTCATGCTCATGCAGCTCATGCATGCATTCATCGCTGTAAGTGTGTGCATATTGTTATATATTTTGGATAGATTGATTGTGCAAGTAGGCCTTCAACCGCCAAGCAGCAGGACTACTCGAAGGGCTTGGAACGCTCTACCGAGGTCAGTTCAAGCCCGGGTCGACGAAAGATTGCCGCACTGGCTGCAGCCTCGGGGTGGTGACAAACCACGTGGCCTATCAGCCTGGGGTGTTATGTTGTGTCACGATGCTGTAGTTAATCCTTCCTGAATCTTTCCTGGCCTATTCTGACATGGTATGATGCCACTGTGCGTTCAATGATGTCAAAAGGTATTGCATGCTGTCGTTCTGTACTAGTGTACTTAATCAGAATTGGAAGGGGTTGCGGGCTTCTGCGCTGTTCACCACTGCATTACTAGGTGCGCCTTGAGATGGCAGGTTGACACTAGTTGTTGAGACTCCTTGCTACATGAAGAAGAGATCACGGTGACCAAAGAACTCTTCAGAACCGTTTGAATCAATGCCTCTGTTTTTTCTACACGGATTCCTTTAGTTGTCAAAGCCTCGTCCGAGGGGCCTCAATGGACCGGTAAAGGTTCGGAGATGGGAGTAGGGAATCGGAGTGCCTCAGAATCCGAAGTGTTGGGGCCGATGAATTCGACTGGAGCTGCTTTTTCGCACTCTGACCCTCAGGATTATCCTTCTTCAGAATTTCATGTCTGAGCATCAGCACTTGAGCCACTTGAGCCGCTGAACATGTTCCATCTCTGGCTACTCCCTGTCTTGCTAATGATAGCTCGAGCCCCCCCCCCCCCTTCTCCCCGAAGCCTTCTAGCACGCGTCAAGTCTAGCGGCGAGCTTGTTCACTGGCGGCTCGTAGCTGGCACCTTCCACGGTTCCAAGGTGCGAACTGCCTTCCGCCCTGCCTTGGTACGCTGGCTGAGGAAGTTTGTACGAGTTCCAACGTCAGGTTGATTGTTATTGCCGAGTGGTTTTGTTGGACCGAAGCAGCCTTGCAAAGGGGTTTATTCGTTGCGACAGTTAGACAAGAAGGGCTACCGAAATTTTTAAAGCTTTGAGATGTTGGGGTTCAGGCTTTAGAGTCTACCTTTCCGCCTTAGCTTGTGCTGCGAAGCACTCTTCTGCTACTGAAGCCCTACACTTCGAGGTAGCAAGCTCGGCGAAGACACCTGGACCTTGATGGGAGGTGGGATTTAACTTGGGATAGTGGCAGAGCTGAAGCCGTGATTGATTAGCGCCAGTGTCCTGGTACGCTAGGCCCTAGGGCACTACGCTTGACGATTCTGGCTATTTGCGCCTAGCGATTCTGGTTGCCCCGACCTCAATTTGATTTAAGTCTACCGTGGGTGTTCTAGCGGTAGCGAGCATGGCTCTGAGTACGGTAGTGGTGAGAAAAATGCACTTGTTTGTGTTACGGGGTGCTGTTGGTTAAGTAGTTCTGAACAATGTCATGTGATGGCTCATGTAATTCTGCTCTTGTGCGTTAGCAATGTCAGCATGGCGGTGCGGCACCACAACAAGGGCCTCTTTTTTCAAGACGAAGAACGTTTCCCAAAATCTTCCCTGTAAAAACGCATCCGGCGTCGTTGAATGAATCAGCATGCACTTGCAGGACATGTGCACACGCACACACTCGCCACAGATAGCTTCAAAAAGAGGTAAACCATCACAAGACAGGACCTTCAACAAGTTGAGGTGTGCCGTGAGCATTCTTGGCTTTAATTTTTCTGTTTGAACAATGTGACAGTGGACGGGGTCCAGGATGAGAAACGCCCTCCGAGAGCATCTTTTAAATTAGATGCTTCCGTACTTTGAGAGCAGTCGAATTTTTTGCAAAACGATAAAGATAAAGCAGAACGATAACGAATGTTCGTAACATTAGCTCAGGTCATACAGCCCCAAAGTCCTGTAAAACGATCAGAGTAATGTACAACAATAACCATGTTAAGGGTCAAGCAAATGGGAGGGGGTTTTCACGCACCCATAGGTGGAGCATGCTCTGTGCAGCAGATTCCCCACGCGTTGACACTTTTACATCCTCAGCAGACAGTCGACGCTGCAGCTAAGGATGGACAGGACTGCTCTGCACAATCCGTGGATGACTGCCACGGGAACCATGTTGTCCGAAAAGGGATGGGCCGCTTGGCTAGTAATGCAACAAATAGCTGCTCAAACTCACATCACGGTAGATTCCCAACTTGTAGTTCTAACCGCAGTTCTCATGCTGCGGACCACACAGTTGCTGGCGGACTTACTGGTTCGATCAGAAGCTTCTGCTTCTGCGACAACAACGACGACAACGACAACAACAACAACAACAGCAACCACAACAACAACTACTACTGCTACTACTGCTACTACTGCTACTACTGCTGCTACTACTACTACTACCACTACTACTACTACGACTACTACTCTTACTCCTACTACTACTACTACTACTACTACTACTACTATTGCTGCTACTAGTACTACTAGTACTACTAGTACTGAAAGTACTAGTAGTACTGCTAGTACTACTAGTACTACTAGTACTACTAGTACTACTAGTACAACTAGTACTACTAGTACTACTAGCACTACTAGTACTACTAGTACTACTAGTACTACTCGTACTACTAGTACTACTAGTAGTCTACTAGTACTACTAGTACTACTAG